AACTTTACTTCCGAGGTATATAAATTCTTGAACTTCCTCTATTGCTTCATCATTTAAGATAATTGGATTTTCTGTTTTGAAATTATTTCTTATTACTTGAGTTTTACTGGTGTGTTTTTTTAGTCCTATTTTAAGAGCTGTTGTTAAAAGTCTTTTCCTGAGCGTCCACATGACGGCTTGATATAAGGCTGATGTCATCTGCCTAGTCCAAATCCTCCAAAACAGAGGTGAGTGACCACCTGATATCTCTTCTTCTATCTGGTGTAACTTCCTTCATCAGCCAGTCAATGGCCAAATTGAATGAAAAAGGGGAAAGTATTCATCCCTGTCTGACTCCTGTGTTGACAAAGAAACTTTCTGTTGGATAACTATCACAAATTACCTAGCATTGAAACTCTAAGTAAATGGCTTTTATCAAATTTACTATTTTCTGTGGTACACCATAGTTACACAAAATCTTCCATAGTGATTCCCTATGCAGGATATCAAAGGCTTTTTCCAAATCCACAAAGGTCATATAAACTGCACTATTCCATTCGGTACTTTGTTTAATTATTTGACCCAGTCTGAAGATGTGATCAATACATGATTTCCCCTTTCTGAATCCTGCTTGCTCTTGCCGCCTTATACTATCAAGCGCTTGATTCATTATTTTAAGAATTATCCGGCTAAAAGTTTTACTAGTTACTGATAGTAATGTGATACCTCTCCAGTTGTTACAGTTTCCTAAATCAACTTTCTTTTGGTAATTTCATAATAGTACCCTTTTTCCACTCCTGTGGGATTTCTTCTTTGTTCCAGATTTCGTGAAAAATCTTACACAATAGTTTTGGCATTTCAATTTCCTCCACTTTCAGCATTTCTGGGCAGATTCCATTACACCCAGGTGCTCTGTTAACTTTTTGAGCTTTATTCGCCTCCCTAACCTCTGCCTCTGAAAAAGGCTCTAGGCTTATCTGTAGGTCTTCTTGTGCCTCATGTTTATCAGCAAGAACAGGTGAGTCTGGGCAGTTTAGTAATTCCTAGAAGTGTTCTTTCCACCTTCCTAATTTTTCTTTCTCGTCTGTAATCATTTTCCCACTCTTTGTTTTTGATGGCACATTTTGGCGCGATACCATATTTCCTTTCAGTTTCTTAGTTATGTTGTACAATGTTTTGATGTCCTGCTTATTTGCTGCGTCCTCTGCTTCTGTTACTAGTTTTTTAGTATACGAAAGTATATCTGCTTCTGCTCCTGCTTTAATCTCATTGTTCTTTAGTGCATATTCTTTAGAAAATTGTCCTTTCAATCTGGCTGATTTTACATCTAACATGTGTCTTTTAATATCTTTCTGTTGTGGTATTTTCTCCCACGTCGATCGGGAAATCCACTCCTCTTTCTTTGACCGCCTATATCCGAATATTTTTTTCCCTGCTAATTTGACTGCTTCATATATTTATCGATTACTATTTCTGTTTCTTCTTGTAAAATGCTGAATCTGTTTTTGAATTCTATCTTGAATTGCTGTATGATATGTGTGTCCTGCAATTTTCCTACATCATATTGCTGCGGTTTCTGTTCTCCTATTTTAACTTTCCTTAGTTTTAACCTGATTTTTCCAATAAGTAAATGATGGTCACCCCCTATATCTGCTGATCTATGTACTCTGACGTCTTGCAGGGAATGCCTCCATTTTCCATTTATAAGAATATGGTCAATTTGGTTTTCTGCGTGTCTATCTGGAGATCTCCATGTAACCTTATAAATTGTTTTATGAGGGAAAAGTGTTCCTCAAACTATTAGATTGGCTGAAGTCTCTCTTTGTTGTTGGTCATTTTCCCTGTTCCATGTTTTCCCATTGTTCTCTTCCTCCCTGCGTTGTCCTTTCCTACCTGAGCATTAAAGTCTCCCAGGATTAATAATACATTATGCTTGTGATGACCCTGCTTTGCATGGTCTCCACGATTACATTGAAGCATGGGAAATAAATGTAACTGAATAAACTGACAGCATGTACAAAGGAGCTGAGTGGAGTTTGTGTTTTCAACCCTAGATGTTAAAGTCGGTGTAAACCAAGGTTCATTCCAAGTATCAACTCGTTTCGGATCAAACCAAGAATCATTTCAAGGTAGTTGAAAGTGTAGCTTCAGGTCTAAGCTTTGACTCATTTCAAGTCAAGCCAAGGTTCATTTCAATGCTTTAGGATGTCTTCTACTACCGTTTTGCAGACTGTCGTAAAAGCTGTCTTTTGTTTCCTCTTCTGCATCCTCTGTTGGTGTTTAACAGACCAAAATCACGCTAGATCATGCTCAAATAAAATTAAAAACAGGACATTACAATATTGATGTGTATATCAACATTACAGAACTACCATTACATTATATATATATATATATATATATATATATATATATATATATATATATATATATATATATATATATATATATATATATATATAGTATATACAGTCAGTAGTTGAGAGGACTGGAAAATCATGGCTAAATTTGAAGGTATGTAGGCCAGAGTGCTGGAGAAGGGAAAATTGTCGGATCCTTTCCCTAAATCAAATGATGTAAAGCAGGGATGTGTGCTCGCACCAGCCTTGTTCAGAATGACATTTGCTGCAATGTTTGTCAATGCCTCTGAGGATGACGATCTAGAAATTTCTTTACATTACCATACACGTGACAGTTTTTTTAATCTGAGGAGGCTTCGAGCTAAAACAAAAACTAAAACAACTGACTGACTGACTTTCTACCCCACCAGGACATCACACAAGCGATAAAAACCCGATGACACAATGTGCCGCCATGCGGGCGAGGATCACCGTGGAGAGGTCCCAGAAACCGCGTTCAGCCTTTGAGCCATATTTATGGCCAGGCTATATTGCGGCCCCTGGCAAGAGCCAGAGTAGGGCTTCAAATAACGAAAAATGTCGTCCTAAAAAAGACAAGTATTAATGACAACCACGACTAAAACAATACAATTATGGACCTTTTATTTGCTGACGACTGCGCTCTAAACGCCAGCTTTGAGGCCAGTATGCAGCACATAATCAACAGATTTTCTGAAGCCTGTACCAACTCTGGGCTAACTATCCTTTAAAAAAAGTAAAAGACCCTTTTCCACGTTTTTAGGCATATAGGGCTAGACCTATATTTTTATAGACCAATCGGCACACGATGATTGATGTGGTCAGCATCAGGCCACGGGCTAACTATCAACACTGATAAAACTAGTTATCCATCAACCAGCTCCCAGACAAAATCTCGGTGATCCCACGATCACCGAAAATGATCAAAAGCTAAATGTAGTTGACAGATACACTTATCTTGGCAGTACTATATCAGAGCGTCAATGTTGACGATTAGATCAATGTTAGAATCTCACAGGCCAGCTGCAGTTTCGGCAGACTTTATACCAGTGTCTGGAACAGAAGAAGTATCTCCCTGTTGACCAAGCTCAAGGTTTACAAGGCTGTAATTCTTCCAGTACTGCTCTACGCTTGCGACACGTGTATCAGCGCCATTCTAACAAGTTAAATCAGTTTCATATAACTTGTCTCAGAACGCTGCTCAAAATCAAATGGCAAGATAAGATCCTAAATACTGTGGTTCTTGATAGGGCAAACCTGCCTAGCATCCACACAATACTGAGGAATTATAAGCTGCGCTGTGCTGGTCACCTAGCTCGCATGCCAGTCTATCGCCTTCCAAAAAGAGTATTTTATGGTGAGCTTCAGCAAGGGAAGAGGTCCCAGGGAGGACAGAACAAGCACTATAAAGACACTCTCAAAACTGCTCTTAATTCTTTTGGCATCAACACAGCGACGTGGAAGGCTACTGCACAAGACCGTTCTGGGAGGCGTACATCTTTCAGGCATGGTGCGTCAGCCTGCCAGGCAGCGGAGGTTGCACAGGCAGAGAAATGGAGGCAGACTAAAAAGAAGCGTACGGCTAATAACACACTTACTGAGGCTTCCATTTGTTGTCCACATTGCTCCATGGATATATATATATATATATATATATATATATATATATATATATATATATATATTTACACACAAACACACACACTAACACAGTAATTGCATTGTTCCTTTCAAAACAGTTTGTTAAGTCAGTCTTTTTATACTATCTCTCTCTCTCTCTTTTTCTCTGTGTTTGTGTGTGTCGGCCATTGCCCTCGCTTTGAAGAGTATTTGGTTTACCGAGCTGGTTTTAATTTGTTATGAACAAATTGGCTCTGGACTGGTCATGTAGTTAACAATATCGCACTAGCCGTCTTTATGTTTCTCACATTTCTTGCTAAACATTTCAGGGGGAGTCAATTAATAATAAACCAGCCATCTCTCTATTTCTATCTCTCTGACTCTCTTTCTCTATCTCTCTTTCTCTCTTCACGGGAGTATGGGCGGGAGGGACAGGGGAAGGGGGGGGGGGTAGGGAGGGGTGTCGTGTCATATTTGGAGAAAAGAGGTTTAGGAGAACATTATAATTACTAGTTAGATTTGTTGTAATAGATGAGACGCTGACTGACTGGGGATTTGGAGGGAAGGGGGGTGGGTCTGTATGAAGTAATATAATCAAATTTAAAGATACAGATTAATAATCGACAGCCGTGAAAAAGATAAGGCTAGGATCATGTTACGCCGTGTGGTATATTTTGAATATGAAAATACGATGTAAGTCTTCGAAACATTTTTTTTTAAATCCAATATCAAACTCTAAAATTAGATGTCAAATGGTGAAATTTATTTTTCTTCTTGTGATCTTCTTCTTTGATTTACACCGACAGACGAGTTTGGTGATAAAGTTGACCGTCCTTTCCAGGTTCTCTTCAGTTCCATCACCGCCTTCTCAATAGAGGAGGCCGTGGTTCCATACAGCTTTGAAAACTGTATTGACCTGATGAGTGGAGTTGCGCTCCTTGTTGCTACTAGTTACGTGCTATCAACAATCAGGGGCTGAAATTAGCTGCTCCTGTTATTTACGTTTTGATCTGACAGAATAGGATGGCAACATCACAAGAGGTGAGATGGCGTATTTTAAAATACACTTTTGACTAGTTTTGCTAAACAATACACCCACTTCTGTTAGTTTGTGGGAAATTCAATTAATTTCAACCCTCGGTTTAGCGTCGTAACGAATTTTTTTTTTTTTTTTAAATTGGTGACTGACCTGTAAATTCTACCTGCTGGTTATGTAACTTACTTGGAGAATATGAAACCATACCCACAATCCCTAAGCCACAGATTTAGACAATCTTAGCGTTCACTTTTATTGTATCGCATTATATAAATAACATAAGAATTTAAAACAATTTCAGAAAGTTTGTTCTGGAAGTGTCAACGAGAGAACCTCACAGTTCTATCGTACGAAGGAATTGCCAGAGAGATTTGAGAATCCAAGTAAGTATACTTGTGCAGCCAGCATGTATAGCTTAGGCGTTAAAAACGCGCTTTATAATTCCAAGATACCTGGTTCTATTCTGCTGCAGGCAATCTGACAGCAGACTGCCTTGTGTTGTTTTCAATAACGGCATCGAGAGCCAATCATTGGGAAAGCAATGACAAATTACTGAATGTAAAATTGTCTTTAAGCAAATCCAAACAGCCAACAAATGCTGGGAGTGGCTTCTGGGGCGTTCTGTAAATATTACCCAACTAATATTATTATTAAGCCTAAATGGCATATCATATCTCTGGCTATAATAGATCCCAAGCACCAAATCTCTGGCTATAATGGATCCCCAGCACTAAATCTCTGGCTATAATGGATCCCCTGGGAAAGATATAAAACTGAACGAAAAGTATATCAGCCAAGCACTTCAACTTACAAAAGTGAAAATGTGCTCCCAGCGACCTGAAATCAATATCTCAGAGCGATGATACACACTGATATATAGCTCTACACAGTTTAATTACTGAATAAAATTCAGATTGACCTATGATGGAAATTTAAATCTAACAATAGACATACTACAACCATGAAATCAATTAAGTCTACTGTTGCTTGATCGCCTGAACCCACAATGCTATGACCATGTGCGTGCAGTCGCCGCTGGGTGAGAGCTCCTGTCCCTGGGCAACCAGCACAATCAGAATTCAAAAAGCCACATGATTGTTTTCCGGATCTTCTGTCTTTCTATAGACACCATGGCTCCCTGGGCTGCCAGATTTGTGTTCACTTGCATCCTCACCAAACCAAATTTATAAAGAATTTTGACATCCTGCCACATTTGTGATAATGTTGTTTGTGGTAGGGTTGATTTTTATGATGGTAGTGATAGTTTTATTTGTGGTAGTGGTGTTTTTTGGGATGATAGTGATAGTGTTGTTTGTGGTAGTGGTGATTTTTGTGATGGTAGTGAGTGTTGTTTGTGGTAGTGGTGATTTTTGTGGTGGTAGTGAGTGTTGTTTGTGGTAGTGGTGATTTTTGTGCTGGTAGTGAGTGTTGTTTGTGGTAGTGGTGATTTTTGTGCTGGTAGTGATAGTGTTGTTTGTGGTAGTGGTGATTTTTGTGATGATAGTGATAGTGTTGTTTGTGGTAGTGGTGATTTTTGTGCTGGTAGTGAGTGTTGTTTGTGGTAGTGGTGATTTTTGTGATGATAGTGATAATGTTGTTTGTGGTAGTGGTGATTTTTGTGCTGGTAGTGAGTGTTGTTTGTGGTAGTGGTGATTTTTGTGATGATAGTGATAGTGTTGTTTGTGGTAGTGGTGATTTTTGTGATGGTAATAGCTATAATGTTTAGGGTGGTAATGTTTTTGATGATAGTGAAGATTTCTGTAATGATAGTGAATGGTCTTTGTGGTAGTAATGATTTCTGTGATGGTACTTATAGTGCTTTTATGATAGTGGTGATTTTTATGATGATAGTGGTAGTGTTGTTTGTGTTAGTGTTGATTTTTGTGATGGTATCCTACAGTTCCTAAATATTTTTGTCATCACCATGAGCTGTGAGTCGCATGACTCCTCATAGCACACTTTAACACTGTTGTCTGAAAAGATGAACAGCTGTCATCAAACAGTGATAAAGTTGTTTGTGGTAGTGGTGATGACTGTGATAGTGATAGTGATGGCTATGGATGAAAAGGTGGTATTTGTGGTGATGATGTGTGTGATAACTGTGATGGTGATTGTGATGGCTATAGATGAAAAGGTGGTGTTTGTGGTGGTGATGTGTGTGATAACCGTGATGGTGGTTGTGATGGCTATAGATGAAAAGGTGGTGTTTGTGGTGGTGATGTGTGTGATAACCGTGATGGTGTTAGTAATGACTGTGATGTAGATGGTATTACTTAAGGTTGAAACTATGGTGGTGTTAATGTTTGTGATGGTAGTTTAGTGGTAATTGTGATAAGCATGACAGTGATGTTTGTGGTAGTGGTGATGATTGTGGTGGTGATGGTTGCAATGGAGGCAGTGATGTTTGTTTATGAAGCTTGTGGTGATGGTGATAATGTTGATAATAATGGTGAAATGATTTATAAAGTAAATGATTTTCATGTGCATGTGTTTTTTTTTTTTAATTTTTATTTTTGGTAGGTTTATTTCGGGGCTATGATAGAAAACCTCAACACCCCATGTACACCACAGAATCATCCAAATATGGCTCCAGAGCTCCGACAGTACACACGGTTCCTCTCTGTTTTCATGCCACATCCCAGAAGTTTTCTCAGGTATTCATTTTACAATCTGGCAAAATTCAACTGTTTTAACTCTTCCAAACCTAGGCAGTGGTTATTTGAACCTTGCATTACCAAGTGGCATATGATTTGCTCTTTCTCACGAATGGCAACCATAGAGTAATGTGTTGTTTTACTTTTATATTTGGTCAGAGAATAATGATAACTCTAACTCCTTGGGAGGATTTGTAGAAACAAACCCTTACTTTAATCAATTAGAGAAAACTGAGAAATCTGGCTCCTCTAGAGGATCTGCAGAAATAACCCTTACTTCATACATTTAGTCAGAGATAACTGAGAAATACAGCTCTCTTATGTCATGCTTGTTAGAAAGACAGTGGGTTCATTCTTGTTCTCCCCACAATGAGGTCCAGGAACCTACATAGAGAGCTCTGAACTTATCAGTAATATTTTTCTCCTTTATCTATTTTCACCCTCAGTGCAACATGGTCCTTAGCATCCTGTCTCCATAAATCCACCTCAATAACTATCATTCATGTCTCACTAGCAGTCATCTTTTAATCACAGTAGAGGTAAACCATGCCATCTTCTATCCATCTGTAATTCGCCATGACTGAGCACTGAGAAAACTGTTGTGATACCTGCTTTTTCCAATACCTCAGTTTTTGTGATCTTGCCTTGCCACTTAATATCAAGTATTCTTCTTCTTCTTCGCATTCACCAGCTGTACACTCTGGCGGAAAGTTCTGGTTGCTCGTCCACTACTGAACTGCAGTCCTGCTCTAGAACCTTAGTGTTGCGTGTGCATCAGTTTTACAGATCTCATTCTCTTGAATACAGACTGTTGGTTCCTTGCCTCTCCGGCAGATGCACTCCGACTTCAAAGGAAGCTCCCCAACTATTTGACTCTTACGACATGCTTTTGGGGAGGCAGTGTGTATATTATTTTTTTCCTTACAATGGAGCCCCGGAACCCACACGGGGGAATATCAAGTATTCTTCTTAAACATACCATGTCAAATCTATTTAGCCATTTCTAACCTACAACTACACAAGAAACGAGAAGAGAGAAATGTGCAGATTTTGCAGGATAAGAGGCAAGAGCAGAAAGACCCCATTTGTCAGTACAATATCAACATCAAACTGCTTGCCAGTTCACATGTGCGATTATGTGGCTTTGCATCTTGTCAACACCAGCAGCATGTAGCAGTTCATGTGTTGATATTTTTCTATGCCAGTTATGTCAGTACAATGAAAAACATTTGGGGGCTTAAAGGTCTTGAGGTATAGTGTCCACCTCGACTGCTGGAGGTCCCAGGTTCAAGCACCGGTGGAGGCTGGGATTTTTTCACGTGGACTTTTAGTAATTTTCCCTGTTCTCTGGGTATGCGTTAGACACCTGTGTGTATTCTTACGCGCATTAAAAAAAATACCTTGGCAGTTGGAAATAGAAAAGAGTAGCCTAACAGCCTGGGCAAAATTTGAGTTAAAAAGTATTTTAGGATCCTTGCTGGTGCAATTGAGTTCCTGCACTGCGCTGAGATTCTTCAGACTCAGGCTTGAGTTAGAAGTAGAACGCAGCACTTATAGGTTACACCCGTGTGCCACAATGTTGATCCGTTGAATAAACATAAAAGAAATATATCTGTCTCTCTTTTGGAGCATAAAGAAGTTTGACACTCGTGACCATGAATAGAGTAGCAAGGCAGTTTAAAAAAATGTGTGATGAACTTCACAATGGACATTAGCTGCAGTGAATATATAATATATCCACTGCCGTCTTTATAATTTGCAATCATTAACTGATGCCTGCACAGAATGGAGGGAATTAAATGGTATGAGCTTTGGGAGAGAACTAAACAAGTTTCAGTGGACCAAGAGGTGAAGAAAAGACACTGGTGTTGGATAGGACACACGCTGAGAAAACCTGAGAACAGTACAACTAGAATGTTTTTGCACTGAACCCACAGGTGCCTAGAAATAAAGGAAGACCAAAAAATACATGGAGATGAGAGCCAGAGAGTGACATTAAAAAGATGGGGAGGACATGGAGAGAGATGCATTCAATAGCGAAGAATAGAATGACTTGGCATGAGTTAGTTGAGGATCTATGCCCCATTAGGGGGATAGAATGCTGAAGGAGAAGAAGACTACCGTCTTTGGGAAATTATGCGATAAGGCCCTAATCTCTTCCAAGATACAATTCTTATTGCTGTGGAAATCGAACTGAGTAATCACAAATTGTGAATCTCATTCACTTTCCTCTGAGCCACACAGAGAGGATGTAACAAGGTGAGCAAGTAAGTTAAGGACACTTTACACAGCACTGTGGTGCATCAGGCACATGAGGCCTAACCCATATTTTTATATAGACTAATTGGCACTTGATGGGTGATGTGGTCAACATTGCCTTGGCTGCCTTTACCTCCCTGGTCTTCACAAGGTCTTTTACCTAGTACACATTTTAGGCTTGACTGACCTGTGAGCCGAGGTCAGTTTGTAAAAATCTGCCTCGGTGAAGAACCGAACAAGACATGTGGGCCAGAGGTCAAGCTTCTAGCCACATAGTGCATTTGTAATCGTAAATACAAATTTAATTTTTAAATTTTTAATTTTTAGGAACTTGGAAGAAGTGGGATGCCTCGCAACTACTCGCTGAATACTTCAATGGACAAACATTACATCTGAATTCCCCTAAATCTTTTTGTTTGTTTTTGTTTTCATCTGAATTCTCTCAAATCTTTTTGTTTTACTATGTCTACATATTGTTGGCTCTATGCCAAAGTCACCTAAATGATAAATACTTGTTTCAAGAAAATAGTTTATGAACATTGCTATCTCTCTGGGGACAAAAATCTGATTGAAAACTGCAGCAGTGTGAAAAGAAATGTTTGATTTTGACCTGTTTAGAGTAGGAATTCACCGGTGTGTCTTTGGTATAGTGTAAAGTAATAGCCCTGAAAATTCATGTAAGTTAAAATGCCACACGATTGCATTAGGCGACGTTTGCACAGTGCCAATGATATTAAACATAGAGCTGCTCAAAACAAAAATTCTTTAGGTCAAGGGAAAATGTAGTTGAATTAAGACAACAGTGAAACTTAGGTCAAATCTGAAGACTGTGTTTCAATTTCATCAAAATGTATGTTAGGTTAGTTGCATATTCTTTACAGGACGTTGCAGAACCAACCCCAACAGCCCCTGACTGTTGTGTGATTTTTCTAGGCAGATTTACGTCCAGTAGTTTGCCATTGCTTTCTGGACAGTCGGCTTTCTTGATACCACTGTCGAAACCAACGTAAGGCGCATGGCCCGCAGCTGGGATCGAACCCGGCATCCCGGCATTATGAAGTGATTCAATATGAATGTAATTTATACAGTAAACAGATTGGGAACCCCTGAGGCCACAGAAACAGTATATATAATAAACCAGACATGTACTGATCGGCATTCATAGAAAGAATTAGTAGTGTGTCTTTATATCTTTCTATGAGTGCCAAACAATGCAAGATTTTGTGTTTGTTATATGTACATGTAAATTAACCTATTATGTACATTTAAAGTTTGGCTCAAAAGTAAAGTTTTTATTTGTCTGTCTCTTTTGAGTCTTGTTATTTGTTAAAACAAATATATGAGACATAATGTTCTTAGCAGAGGACCTGTTTCATACCTCTGGCAGATAGTAAGTAAAGTAAAAAAGTAAAGATCCCTTTTCACGCCTTTCGGCGCATCGGGCATATGGGCAGAGCGTCCCATATTTTTACAGACCATCAGCACTCTGTGGGTAATGTGGTCAGCATTACGCCGGCTGTCTTTACTTTCCCAGGACAGCCCTTCCTGGTACCCATTTTAGGCTGGGTCGACCTGCGACGTCCCATACCACTACAAAAATCCACGCAGCCTGCAGTGGGTTTCGATCGCGGTATGCTGGCTCACGAGTCGGACTCGCAACGCCTTACCCACGGACGCCGCTGGCAGATAGTGCTAGATTTATATTTTTTAAATTAAACAATGGTCAGCATTACCTGACTGCCTTTATTTCCCTGAACATTACCTGGCACACATTTTTAAGCTGGGTTGCATGAGAGCCAAGATAAGTTTTGAAGAAAATGATGTAGATTTGCACCAAAGACCTTTGGATTGCCAGGAAAGCGCCTGGCAACTTCACAACCCCCCATACATTTTTTTTGAAGTCCAAGGGAAAAAAAAGGTATTTGATTTGAACCATATGATATCCTTTATCTGCCTTTTATCATTGAGTGTACCCTAAATTATTAGAGGATGAAATACAAGGAGGAGGATAAGTAGAAGAGTTTAAATAAGCTGTATGTGTGTAGTGAGAGTCCAACTCTTCTTGGACTCTCACTGTGGAAATGGAAAGGAAGATTCAAGCTTTAGAATGTAAATGCTATAGACACATTTTACAAATTAGTTATTTAGAACACATAACTAATAAATATGTCACAGACAAAATATACAAATTTGCAGGACATCAGGAGCCTCTCTTGGCAGTAATGAAATGTCGCAAGCTAGCTTGGTTTGGGCACCAAGTGGGACATCATTCGATTGCAAAGACTGTGCTTCAAAGGGAAGTCGAAGAAGAGGAGGGCAAAGAAGAATCTGGAATGACAACATCAAGAAATGGACAGGACTAAGTTATCATACACTTATTCATCAAGGGAAGACAGAGAAAGATGTGGGTTTTATGTGCTAGTGCTTCCATCGATACACCTCCATGACCCTAACGGGCCATGGGTTATGTTATTTGTCTGTGGTATATTTGTTTGTATCCTTGAGTGATTGAGAATTAAAGGTTAGAGGTGGGGAATGCATACTACTGTTGCTGAGTCAACAAATGCTGATAGATGAATGACCCATGTGTGCGAACTGTGGTCCCTCATACACTGGGGCATCAGCTGCCCTATGTTCAGACTGAGATATAGGTTCTTCTTCTTAGTCCATGCCGTGCAGCGTTGGTAGTCATGTCTTTATCCACAACTTTCTGTCTATATGCCCCAAAGTTCAAATCCACACTGAGTCAGCTCCCAGTTCTGACATAGATAACCTACCATGCCATGATGTCAAACTGTCTAGCATCTTTTCTTTTGGTCTCTCTCTCTGCCTCTTTTCCCTTTCAACTTTCCAATCTACGTACTCCAGTTTTCTCCTTCTCATGACATGACTAAAGAATGCAGATTGTCTCCTCCTGATGTGGGCAATTAGTTCTCTTCATAAGTCAGTTTCTCTCAAGACATAGTAATTATTCTTTTTATCTGTCCAGGGTTTTCTCATCATTCATCTATGAAACCACCTCTTCACCGCTTCCAAATAACATTTCACTGCCAAATTGTTCATGATTCATGTCCGTATGTTAGGGAAGGATGTATAAAGCTCTGAGAATTCTCTTTCCTATCTCAGTTGACAAAGAAAGATTGCACAGAATATTCTTAATTTTGTAAAATGTTGCCTTTGCTTGAAATATGGGGACTTCTTATTTGTGTAATTCTTGCCATGTGCTCTTGTTCATCATGTCTGGCCAGAACATTTTATTGTTGCTTATTGTCACTCTTTGTTTACTTGATACAAATGTTAGGTTGTAGAGCTGCTAAAGCACATGTGGTGATGCACTTTGACCAGAGCTCATGCTGGTTGAGACCTACCTACACCTCTCCGCTGTCCTCCTAGAAATAGTTTCCCAACCAGGAGCCTGGCCAACGTAAGACAGGACTGATATTTGGAAGCTGGAGTGCACCTGCCTTAGAGGTGAGGAATCAACAGTCTGCACACAAATAAGCCAGCTTTGTAAAATGGATGTATATGCAAAACTG